CTGAAATGACATTTTGCCGCTTCTGTTTTTCTCACAGCTTTTCGCAGCGGGGCGAGATCTCCGGCCCTGCAAACCGCTCGCCCTTCAAGAGCAGGCAGCCCAGGGTGTCATTACAGGTTAACTGAAGCTGCTGCTTCAGATTGAAACGGGAGCTGTTGTTTCATTCTTCAGGTCACTTAACCCCCTCTTAACGGTAATAAACACAGTGATTAAGGACCAAGGAGTATCACCCTGGAGGAAGGGGACCAAAGCTTGGAAAAGGATGAAAGAAACACTCCGATTAGCCCTGTTAAAAATATGGGGGTTTAGCTGAAGCTGCTAAATTTTGACTCGATTTTACACACTGGAAAGGTTTTGCGGTTTTTGGTCTTTTTTTTACGGTGCATAAAGTGTGCTTTCCTCATAAAAACCCCCACCAACTCTCGGGCCGAGTGATGCAGTTTCGATGTGTCACGGAGGCAGGGTTAGCACAGATCCCCCTCTTGGGAAAGTTGATGTAAACCCCCAAAACATGAGACTTCTGTCTCGAGTGGGGCTCCAGGTGCCTGAAACCAGCACCTGGCCCCCTCCGTGGTCACAGCACAGGGTTGTTTTTTTCAAAGGAGGGCTGAGAAGGGACACGTTTCACCCCAGGCTCATGCTGAGAGGAGTGTAGGGCTTTGGTCTCACCTCCTGGAGGTCTAAATCCCCTGCCCAGGGGATGTGGGGACATTGAAGGTTTGAAACCAGGAGCTCCTGTGTGGCTGGTCCCAGCCCGAGGAGGATTAGGGCAGGGAAAGGCAGGCGAGTCCAAGCTCCACTGCAAAAAATCTCCCTCGTGAGCTGGGGGCACTGTGCCTCAGTTTCCCCACAGGCCCCATGGAGATAATGCGATTGCCACACAGGCTGTGGGCAAAAAGCATTTGGAGACCAACTTCCCCAAGGATTCATTAGTGGGAAGCTGGAGCCGTGGGACACCCGGTTTGCTGATAATTCCCCTCGTCCCGAGGCAGGTGTTTAAAATAGCTCCTGTGACTCATGGTGCCAGAAAGGCCAAAGGGTTTCAGATGCTGCCTCAGGGGCAGCTGGAGGTTTTCCTTGCCATGGGACGTGGGGCAAGATGCCACCTCCTGCATCTCCAGCTCTTCGGGTCCCTGCGGCGAGCCCGGCCCCCGCTCCCCTGGTGGCTTTTCTCCTTGGTGCTCAGCTGTGTTTTTCCAGCCATGGCAGACATTTGGCTGCTGTTCATCTTCCATTCCCAGAAAGGGATGTGAAAAACATAAAATTATAAACATAAATGCATTTTGCTGCAGCTCCAGGCTCCCCTGGCCCATCCTTTCTGCATCACCAAGCAGCTCAGCTGGGAGTGGATGTCTAAAGGAAGCCACGGGTGTGAGGAGTGCTGGCCCTTTGCAAGTCCTCAGTCATCCATGGGACTCCAGTGCTGCCAAAACAGGAGGTCAAACGGCCTGAAATCCCATCCTGATCCTGCTCCATCATTTTGCTCTGCGTTCTGAATTGTGGGTGCTTCCTCTGCTGACACTGGGGAGCAACAAAAAGTTATGAAAGGGAGGTAGGAGAGCAATGCTGGCTCCCAATTGCTTCCCATGGGATAAATCCTGCACCTTCATCCTCTCCTGTCATAGCTGGTGGCTCCAAAGGACTATGAACATCCCCCCACCCACCAAGGAGAAACAAGGGGTAGAAAAGCCTTTTCCTTCCCTCCAGCCCCTGGATGCAGTCCTGGAGCCACGATGGGCAGCAGGGAGGGGAGCAGCAGGCAGCCAATGCTGCGGCCACCCATCTTCAGGGCTCCCATCACACCCACCACGTCCTTTCCCCGTGGCCAGGCTTTGGGACCCAAACCCGGTGGCCTTTGGCTTCGTGAAGGTATCCCCGGTCCACAGGGGGTCAAACACACCCCGATCCTCTTCCAACACCCACCCCTTGGCTGCAGCCTGTCACCCCGGTACCCCAGCAGCGGGGGGCACGATGGCACCGTTCACCTCCTGCAGCACGAGCCTGGTGGGGCCAAAAATCAGCAGCAGCAGGCGGA